CCCCCCACACACAGTGTGCCTGTCCATTATTCTGGGGGCTCGGTGCACTGCAGGTCAAGCGGCTCGAGTGGGAGTCGTTTCTGCGCCACCGGAGTGCCGAGCTGGTCAAGGGCGGCCGCATCTTCGTGTCATGGTACGAGTACGTGGGCAGGGAGGACGGCGGCTGGTTCAGGGCCATCGACAACGTCGTGAACGTCATGGCTGACGAGGGCTAGTAGACCCCCATATCACACACACGCACACAGTGAATGCTGTTGCTGTGTCAGGGTGTCTCGCGAGACGGCGAGCAAGGCGTCCCTGCCGTTTGTCTTCCTCCCTATGTCCAGTTTGCTGCAGCCGTGGGAGGGCGTCGACGACCGGCCCACGACGAGTGGCCCACTGCCCTCCCCCGCCCCACACACCGAGCTGCCGCTGCAGCTGGAGGCCATGTGGACGGGAGAGAACGAGATTTTCCTGCATGCCTACAACACGAGAGTGGCCTCCGGCCAATGCCACGAGGGTGAAGCCACCGAGATAGTATTCGACGAGGTGAGCAAACAAACACAACACTGACACACAGACCTGATGGATGACGTGTGTGTGTGTGTGTGTGCTTTTTGAATGTGTGCAGCTCGTGACGTCGGCCCGCGGCTGGACGGAGGGCATGGTCACCCCCTTCATGGCTGACGACTGCAAAACAGCAGCAGCGTCGGGCGGCCTCGAAGGTCACAATCCCGCTGATGCAGCTGATGGCGCCGTTGCGGCCAAGGTCAAGCAGTTCTACATGACACTGAGGAAGGAGTTTGTGCGTGTATTCGGCAACCGGCCGGACCCCCAGGGCATCAAGTGGCATGTGTTCGTCATCAGGAAGGTCTGACGGATGGATGGATGGGTGGATGCCAAGAAGGTCTACTACACACAGCCGTGTGTGCGTCACGGTGGATGGTGTGTGGGGCCCTGTAGAGAGGCCAACGGTTTTTTCAGCCTGTAGCCGCATTGGGCAGCCGCCTGCCCAATGGTTTTTTCGGCCAATGGTGATGGTGTGTGGTGCGCACCAAGGCTGCGTGGGCAGACAAGTCGTATAGCCGGGTGATGTGATGCGGTGGGTTCGTAGTGCGAGTGTGTGTGCATGGTGGGCGGCGCCGCTGGAAGATACGCCAGGCCAGGCGGGCGCTGAGCATGGTGCTGGCATGTTTGTCGCGTGATTGAGGGAGGGTTGGTCGATTGACGCAATTCAGGAAATGAGAGACCGACGGACTCTGCCTGTATTCCCCGGTGGGGGGGAGGGGAGTGTATGTGTGTGTGTGTGTCTGTGTGTGTTCACTTAGGTGAGTAGGTCCGTCGTTGCGAGATAGATTCTGCTGCCTGCGTTTGGTCAGACCGGCACACATCAATAGCTCCATGCGACAATACACATGCGTTAGGCAGGGCAGACATACAGGCGTCTACCGACCGACATGAATGCAAGGGTCGTTGAATGTCTCAGCGACGCACACACACCCACACACACACATTCATATCAAAGCACAAAACGCCACGCCCTACGCCACACACACACACATGCTCACCACCCAAGCCGCCCACCCAAGCCGCCCATCCATCCATCCAGCCATCCAGCCATCCGTCCGTCCGTCCGTCGAACATCCCTAATTTCTCTATCCGTCGGGGAGTCGGCCGTCATCCGTCAGCTCGACAGCTACACAGCGGGCAGCTGCCTACAGGGTGACGTCGGAGAGGCCGTCCTGCGCCCACAAAGGCAGCCGGATGTGCACGTCACTGACGAAGGTGTAGGCCTTCTGGCCGCCCTCGGGGCTCATGTTCGCTGTGGTGGTTGTGTCGGAAGAGCCTTGGAAGCTGCTGGTGCTGCCGATGGTCGAGCTGATGGGGTTGCCCTCGATGATGGTGGTGCTCTTGCCTCGCGTCACAACCTGCACCCACACACACCCACACACACACAGACAGACAGACAGAGAGACACATGTGTGTATGTGTGTGGTGGGGTGGGATCCGTTGTGATGTGTTGTGTGGCGTTGTGTGTACCACGCTGCTGCCGGGTGTCTGCTGCTCCGCAGTCTGCCCGCGCTTCTTCAGCGACAGGCCTGCACACACGGTTGCAAGAACGAACACGTGCATCTCTCCTTCAATGGCCATATATATTTGCTCACCGAGTACGCGCTTTCGGTGGTGCTGCGCCTCGCCGGCCGAAATGTCGATCTGAGACACCGTGATGGGCCTGCGCCACCCCACTGTGCCGCCAGTATTGCCGTCGTTGTTGCTATTATCGCTGTTGAAGGGGAACCACACCACGGGCGATTTGCTGGCCTTAATGGGGGGCCGGTAGCTATAGGGGCCCTCTGCACCGCCGTCTGTGTCTGTGTGGGAGGCGGTGAGGGTCAGCGGCTGCTTCATGCTTGACTCCTCGGGGTGTTCGGTGGCGCCAGTATTGCCCTTTTCGTTGCTGGCGTGATGATGGCTGGCGTAGCCATGGGTGTGCTGATTCTGGCGGCATGAGACGCAGCTCTCCTGCTCCTGGAGGCCGATCTGCTTGTTGATGCGGTCGAAGACGGTGTAGAATTTGCAGAAGAGGGGCAGACCCATGATGTACACCTTACCTGTGCGCCACACACACACACAAACACACACACAGGGGGGAAGCGGGTGTTTTGTTGGTGTGTTGGTGCTCTCTCTGCCCGCCCACCGACCCATATTGGAACTGTCCATGTCGAGGGAGATGAAGGCCGGCACACACACGGTCGTCGACCGCCTGAGGACACACACATACACACATTCATCCATCCATCCATCCATAAGTGCCGAAAGCGATGTTTGGGCACTGCGCAGAGTCTGTGTGTCTCTCTCTCTGTGTGTGCGACTGACCGCTTAGCCTTTCTGGGAAAAAGGACCCCCATGAGGCCGTCAAACTCCTCTACCTCTGCCGGGAACCTTCCTGCACACATATATACACACGCACAAGTGGATGGATGGATGGAGAAGAGCACCTGAGTTCCGGCCCACGTACCCATGTAATATTCTGGCCCCAGACAGATCTCCTTCCCGCCCAGCTTGGCACACAAATCGGGGTACTTGTCCAAGCTGTCACACCCCTGCACACACACACACACACACCCCTGTGAGTGTGTCTGTGTGGGTCAATGGCCTCATGCACTGGCCTCGTCGATCCCGTCGCTGTTGGGCGCGTAGAGGGAGAGTTCCTTCAAGAGGTGGTTGACGGCCGATTCAGGCCCTGTCAGCAGCGATGTGCCCGTGTCGATCACAGCGCTACACACACACACACACACACGCGCACACACACAAGGGGGGGAAGGAGTGATGCTCGCGGGTCATTCTTGCAGGTCAGGTGTGTGATACCCGCAGTGGTTGCCGTTTGCGTCTTCCTGGTGGCAGGCTATGTCTGTCTTGGTGCCATTGGGGCTGCGCAGGAAGAGCCGGGTCATGCTCGTCGCCCAGTGCACCTTCCCCTCCACTGGCAGCCTGCACACACACACACACACACACACACGGGCAGATACAGGCACGTGTGTGTGGAACAGCATTGGGGGGTGCGCTGACTGTTTAAACAGCTCGGGGCATTTCATATGGCTGTCGTCATTCCACGTCAGATACCCTGGAAACGAGATAAAGAGAGAGAAAGAGATCATCGAGCATAACATATGCGTGCACAGGTATACACACTGACCAGGCGGTGTTTCGACAGCGAGGGTTTCGGCGAGTCCGAGTGCGGGGCTGGGGGTCGGCACCGCCAACTCCCCCGCCATCACCACCGTCTTCTGCTTCACTGCCAGGGGTCTCGCGGCCGTCTGCAGAGACCTGTCTATGCAGAAACCCACTGTGTCCACCTGTCCACACACAAAAGTCCGTGTGCGTGTGGCAAAGGCACGGGTGCTGTTGCCGCACCCACCCCCATTTTGGACAGAATGTTGTCGCGGTCGGGTCGGCTCCAGGGCATGCCGGCGATGGCCGTGATGTTGGCCGCCTCCAAGGCGCCAACTGCACACACACGGGGTGGTGTTGTATGCGTGTGTGTGTGTGTGTGTGTGATGTGTCAGGACTTGTGTGGTCTTGTATCTGCCAGATGGGCATGTGGTGGTCCGTTTCCATCGGCTTGCACTTGGCCTGCCCCTGCCGAGCCAGCAGTGCCGACGAAGGGGGCGGACAGCTATCAGGCAGCACCACCTACTCACACAGACATACAAACACATGGACAGATAGATGTCCACAAACATGCGTGTGTGTGTCTGTTCAGGGCCCTCACTCACCCTATCGAACCCCTTGATGGCGTACATAGTCCCGCTGCCAAATTTGACGAGCGCTTCGCTCTGCGTGTCGCCGACATCACTGCAAACAGACACATCCATCCATCCATCCATCCATAAGGCGCCGGCGTACCACGGGCGGTAGGTTCGCGAGCAGCTCGAGTTGTACCGGCTCCCCGAGCAAGAAGTGCAGATCGTTGAACTGACCATCAGGTCAAAACTCCCCGTGTCAAACACGCAGTTGAGGGCCTGCGGGGGATCTCCCACCGCCAAAGACCCTACCATCACGGCATTCTCGATGTTTCTCAGCTGCTGCCGCACGGGCGAGAGGTGGCGATGCTCGTCCTTTCCGTCTTTTCCAGCCGCCTTGGGCTTGGCGGACATGACGGCCGGCGAGATGGCACCGTGGCCGACGGGATGTTCTACCAGCCGGGAGGCGTCGTTTTGAGGGAAGATGCATGAGGCCAGGACGGCGCACAAGAGCGCTGCTGCTGCTGTTGCTGCCGGCCACATCCACATCACGCGATACGAGTGTATTGGCGAGAGATCTGGCACGCAGCCACCCGCAGCAAAGAAGTGATGAACGAGAACGTCAAAGGGGACCGTTGAATGGCTCCGCTGGCTTCGCGCTCAGAAAAACCGATGAAAGTTCGTAAATTCTTTGGAGAGGATGATGAGGTTTGTCAGTTGGTCTGCGTGCATTGACCCCAGTGACACAACATTATGTATGAACTGGATGGATGGTCAAGTCCTCTGCCTCTAACAACGGCAGCATGAGTGTTCGCAAAGGAACACGCAAATATAATATGTAGACAGCGGTGTGCACCGCCTCCCTCCCGCCCCACTGCCCGACACGCCCAACACAGAGGCGGGAAGGAACGGACGGACGGACACCCAGACAGGCAGACAGACACACCCAAAACAGACCGACAGCCAGCCGGGCAGGTGGGCGGGCAAGGGAAGGCATAGCCCACCACGGTGATTGCTGACCTGTGTGGTGGTTGTGTTGATGAAAGCTGCTGTTTGAGCGTGAGCATCTCCCGCCTCAGCGGCGCCTCCGCCTCGCGCATCCGACGCAATGCGCCGGCTCTCTCCTGATCTACACCAGCTGACCTGCACACACACACCAGCCACATGTGTCTGTGTGGCCTTCTTTCCCTCTTCCCCCGCTGGGGGTGCCTGTAGATAAATGCGTCTTTTCTGGCTAAGTCCATAAACGGAGTAGGCAGTGCTGTGTGCGTTATGTTCTTTTGCGCTAGTTACTTAGTCAGTCAATCGTCTGTTCCTGTCTGCACTATCCCTGTCTGCATGTGAGAGCATGACAAATACAGTTCCATGAGGAAATGATGAACAGGCAGTGCTGTGCTGGACCAAATAGCAGCGAAAACTGTGAAGAAACACATGATACAAAGCCCCTAGCGTCGTCTTGCCAACCAGTCACTTTGGAAGACAAGAACATGGACACACACGGTTCACTCTTCCTCCTGGGTTGCCTGGTGTCGGGACTCAGACTGCCCCTCGCGGGCAGTGCCACTAACGCTATGCGGGTCCCTTGCTGGCTCCTTGTCCGCGTCGGGGGCCTGCTTGTCCGCGCTGGTGACTGACGACAACACACACACACACACACACGCACACACAGAGAGAAATAGAGAGAGAGTGTGTCCTGTCACATTCATTCCTTTCATCGACTGTCTCTCACGTCACGCGTCCCTTGCCGGATCCGTGTCCGCGTCGGTGGCCTGTGCCCTGCCATGACAGACGGCCACACACACAACCAGAGAGAGAGAGAGAGAGGCGTCACGTCTATGACTGCCCATTCAGCTTGCCATGTATAGCGTACCTCATTCGAGCGTCCTCAAGCAGTAGCACATGCTGCTGACAACGATTGGTTGTCATCGGTCTTTCCCCTGCACACACACAAACACAAACATCTGTCCTAGCTTTTGTCTGTCTGCGTCTGCTCGAGTGTGTATCATTCATTCATTCACGTGTCGGTCACGTACAGGTCGCCGAGGAGCGTGCTGTCATCGGCATCCTCATATCCGATGATTATCACGTCACGGGAAGCACCCCAGACCCGTGATGTGGAGGAAGTCCCTGAGATGACCAATGGTCTGGAACCGGTCAACCTCCACCGCACAAGTAACACCGATCTCGAGGGGGCCGGAACCGGCAGTATCGTCGCTGAAACTGAAAAAGCGAGTGTCCTCCCTGCACCTCCGGGGGCGTGACATGATGCCTCCCATGTCCGGCGACCTTTTCTCCTTGCTTTTTTCACACGGGCAGATCCGCCTCGTACTGGGACTGCAGACACACATAAACAGGGCCTTGACCGGGAAGATCACGTGATCTCTGGACAGCGCGTGTGTTGCCTCACCTGCTGAATCATGTTATTATTCTGGCAAGCAACGCGAGTTTTGAGCCAAGGGCCTCACATATGCAGCCATGGTTCACATAATGCGCAGCGGAGATCTGAAGCGGGATGTCCTCCAGTACAGAGTCCTCTGATCGCGAGCTGAGCTTGCGGCGCCCCCCCCTTCTCCCTCTCTCTCGTCCATCCCCTCTGATTCATATCTGTTGGCATTCAGTCAGGCACCATGCAGGACTCGTCGACGACCAGCCTCCTCCACTCGGTGACCTTCTCATGCGACGACTACAAGCGGCTGCCGCCGTCCAACCGAGAGTGCCTGCTCACGGACGCCAAGCGACTGGCGGGCAAATACGAGGAGCCTCAGGGCAAACCGAGCCTCGAGGAGCCTCGAGGACGTCCTCGAGGCGGTGCTCTTCACCAGAGATGAATTCTCGCAGCTGACGCCCATGGACAGGCAGGAACTACTCAGGAATGCACTCATACTCCACGAGAGAGGTCAGGGAGGGCGGGGAGTGTGGTCTGTGAGGGGCGTGGGGGGAGATGAGATGAGAAGAGGTGGTCTGTGGCCGTGCTGCGGTGCGTGTGGTGGGTTTGGTGCCCGGATGTGGCGCGGAACGAACGTCGGTACCTGTCTCGTGTTCGTGTGTGCGTTGCTGTGTGCAGGCCAGCGTCTGAAGAAAGAGGAGCTCCCATCGGAGAACAACAACCACCCCGCCGAAGCTGTACGCGTACGCACACCTACACCGCACACCTGCACAGACGCACACATACAGACCAAGAGCGGTCAAGACGTGCCAGCGCCTCCACCCCACAAGCGAGGTCCCCCTCCCAAGCGTATCGCTGACTTCCCGCCCGACGAACAAGGCAAACCGAAGCGGCACCGGATAGCTGTCAAGGACTTCTTGGAAGGAGATGCCGGCGCGCCAAGCAGCAACTCATCAGAGGCTGGTGCTGCTGATGACGAGCGTCAAGTGGTGCTCAACGACTGCTCGGTGGGCATCAGCTTTCCCGCCGACACGAATGACGTCAGCGAGCGTTTGGTTTGTCGGATTCTGCGGCGGAACATCACGGGGCGTGGCGTGTCGAGGCTCATCGACAAGGGGGCGGATGCGGTGCTGAAGGTGGGACTCCCGGGCGTGAAGGTGCCAAGCAACCGCCCCTGGTGGGCCAAGAAGGTCAATCACGGGACATCTCCTGAGTTGCGTCTGCTTCAGTTGGCGATTGACGATCCCACAGGCAAGCCAACAAGGCAAGAACATCATGTGTGTCACTTTGCGATTGTGGTATCTTGATTGCCGTTGCCATCAGGCGGATGCCCTGGCCTCAAGGGACACATGAGCAGCACGAAGGAGGCTGCAGTCCAACTTGTTCTTCCCCTGTGGCCATCTCGCGAGCGACAGAGGGAGGTCCTCGAAGCGCTCATTGCGGGGGGAGCACCTATTGACAAGAAGTCGATCACAACTGCCTTCCAGAAGGCCAACCACACCGCTCTCGACACGTTTCTCAGCCACAGACACCTCGCTGACGACCAAGCGCTCTTCTTCATTGATGAAGACCACAGGCCTTGCCCGCCCAAGGACGTCTATGAGCAGTACTTCGACGCTCTTCTCCCGTGCATTCGCCGACTGCTCGAGCACGACAGCAGCCTGGCGACCGAGGAGTTGCATAACGAATATCTGCCCATTCACTCAGTGGCTAAGCATGCGTCTTTCACCAAGAACTTCACAAGTCAGCCGGCATTCTCAATCACACACACGCACTGACAGTGTGACTAAGTGTGTGTTTGACTTTTCAGTTGGTTTCTGTGAGCTGCTCTACGAGTTCGGCTCCCCACTCAACAGTAAAGAGGACAGCGACTACGACGGTTATGGAATGAGGCCGATCGACCAGGCAAAAGGCGCCGACGAGCCCTGGTTACTGGAGTTCTTGTGCAAGCGTCTGCCAGCTAGTGTGCTCGTGAGGAGAGGCCCTGAGCTGATGCGCTGTTTCAGTGGTGACGCTGAGTGTGCTCAACGGCATGCTCGTAAGGAAGCGACCCAGGCATTGGAGAAACGTTACAAGAGGAGGGCAGAGGCGGCCAAGGAGAAGATCCGACTGCTGTTGCGTGCCGGCGTGGCACTGCCTCTACCAGCTGCCCACATCGCTACCACCAGGAAAGGCGATCCAGCGCTCAAGGCAGCCAACCGTGAGCGCCAGGTGATCAAGCGTGAGTATGTGGGCGTCCTCAACCGTATCCGTCATGACGTCATGAACACCGTCAACGCTGCACTCAGGCCTCAACGTGACTTCGCCGCTCTGCTCACCCATCTGCTGCCCCTCGCGCCTCACAATGACGGCCCCCCTGATGATCCCGTCCCCTCCATCCTCCATTTCGGCCCAGAAGAGGCAGCGGCGATCGCCTGGCACATTGCGGCATTGTGCTTCGATATCGACACTGCTCACCAGACCGTCAGCGACATTCAGCTCCGCTCCCACAGCAGACTCGGCCATCGCATCCACACGGCAATGGACCACTTCGTCGCCTCTGCTGTGTTTCACGCCAGCGGCAACACAGCGGTGGTCGGCGGGAGGCACGAGGAGGACGGCCAGGTGGTGCATGCCCCACCACTGCAGTGCTTCGCAATACGGGGAGAGGAGGGTGGGCAGCCTCGTGTGTTGGGTCTACGGGAGGTGGTGCACAAGGCACGGCTTGACGAAGCGACGGAGCACTGCCTGAGGGGTGTGGTCAAGGGCTTTCACGAGCACCTCGGCGATGCAGACTGTCACTTCGAGTGGGACGGGCTGGGCTTTGTCGACGATGCGGGGGAGTTCGTCTCGATGGCCGACTGCTTTGCCGTGCCTGAGATTGAAGGTGGGATCGAGGACGAGGGGGAGAGAGGATGATGAGGACGGAGGTGAGGATGAGGATGAGGACGAGGACGAGGATGAGGATGACAATGAGGACGGCAATGGCGATGATGAGGTTGACGATGAAGATGGTGATGAGTCGATGTCTGATTGACATCATGAAGGAGCACGGGGAGGGGTCGGTGGGGGTACGTATGATGGCTTCCATGAGTGCATTGTTTCCCGTCACCGGTTGTCTCCACGGCTGTCTTTCGTTTGCATGAAGCTGCTGGCCCTGTCTGGTACGGAGGCTTACCGTGTGGAAGTGCCTCTCTTTTTCTCTGCCCTGTCCCCTGCCTGCGTCTTGTGCAGTCTTGTGTTATGTTGACCAATGCGCTCGATGCATGTGAGAGCGTGGGTGTGTCATATTGACTGATCCAGACGTATTTTTGCGTGTGCATCAGACGGTCGTCTGAGTGAGCGATGCGCATGGCGATTTAATGACTCTCCCCCTTTGTTGATGCAATCACCCTTTTAGCTCGCAATCGTCGCGAAGGTGTGGCCTGGAGTTATCGTCACGATGTCACAAACAGCAACAACGACCATGGAGGCCCAGCCAACCAGCCTCATCGCTGCGCCGACAGCTGCAGTGCCAAAGGCGGCCAAGCCTCTCGCTGAGGGCAGGGCGACGCTCAAAGACCTGGCGGTGGATCTCGCATGTGCGGTGAGGCGTTGGTTGAGCAGCAAGTCGGGCAGATCTTCCTCAATCGCCCTTGTTTGTCGGTTGTTGGGTGTGTCAGTATCGTCTGGCTGATGAGTGGGGGATGAACGAGGGCATCTGCAACCACTTCACCATCGCGGTGCCGCAGGAGCTGCACCCGCACGGCCTCGCAGACGATGCGTTTCTGATCATCAAGTACACACGAACGGACGAAGCAAAGGCAGCGCATCCATCCATCGTGTCATCTCTCTCCGTCTGTGGCTGCAGGTACGGTACTTTGTGGAGCGAGGCGACGGCCAAGGACATGCTGCTCGTCAACACCAAGGGCAAGATACTCTGCGGTGCCCAGAACAGACACACATGAGTGTCGGAAATCACACCACGCCGAATTGATGTCATTTGGTCGGTCGTTCAGATTGGGGCACTGGGTGTGTGCAGCCGGTGGGCTACGCCAGCTCCCCCGCCAGCTGGGCGTGCGCCAGCTACGACCCCACGGCCTTCAACATCCACAAGGCCGTCCATCTCAGACTCGGTGGGTGGGAGAGAGAGACAAGGAAAGGAGCGCGAAGCAACGACCATTGGGTTCTCTCTCTGTCTGTCTCTGTCTGTAGGTTCTGCTGGTGCGGTGGTGCTGCATACGCACATGCCGTCGGTCACCACTCTGAACGCGCTCAAACCTGAAGCAGGTAAGAGCCCACACACAGGACGCATTGATTCGACGGTCATCTCTCTGCATGTGTATGCTGGTTGGTCGGTCGGTCAGGTGGTCGCATCCTGCAGGTGCATCAGAACAGCTGCCGCTTCTACAACAACGTCGCCTATGACGAGAACTTCGGAGGTAGGCAGGCAGGCCCCCGACACACACATACACACACACTCAGAATCGATCCCCTTCTACTCACTTGTTGATTGGTCGCCATGTAGGTTTGGCCGACGACACGAGCGAGGGCTGTGCGGAGGGCGACCGCATCGCATCAGTGCTGGAGGGACCCAGCCAACACAGGATCAGGGTAAATGACCGACCGACCGACCAACCGACGGACCCACCCACCGATACACACCCACAACTATCTGTTTCAGGCGGCCTTCCTGAGAAACCACGGCATCCTCATCGTCGCCGAAAACCGTGAGCAGGCACAGACACACACACATACACAGGACAATCCAACGGACGGAACTGTGTGTATTTGCTCTGACTGCGTGCGGCTTGTCTGACTGTGTGTGTCAGTGTGGGAGGCGATGGACGACCTGTATTACTTGGAGAGGTCGGCGCTGTTCCAGGTGGAGGCACTCAAAGCCGCGGGAGGCGACATGTCCAAACTAGCCATTATGGCCGACGAAGTCGCCATCGACACGTACAAACAGGTGTGTGGGTGGCCACCAGGACCAAGTTAGTTGTGCGTGTGGCGACCAATGCCGGCATGTGCGTGTGTGTCAGTGGGAGAGGTTCCGTGCCGAGGGGGGGTGGAAGCACTTCATCGCCCACAAGAGGCGGCTGCTCAGGAAGGACCCAGCCATCCACAACCTCCTCTGATGCACTCCGTCAGTCAGCCCCCCCTGGCAGCCAGTCAGTTTTGCCATCTGTGCAGTGTATCGCCGCTGTGTATGTGCGTGAGTCCGATACACTGCACAGACAGCGGCGCCCTTCTCTGTGGCGTTTGTCCCGCTCTCTGACTGGTGCAGTGGACATGTGTCTCTAGTGACTAGTGTGTGAGTGAATCTCTCGCTGACAGACACTGCTCAATGATTGACAGTATATACGTATACATGATGTGTCCATGTACACACATTGACGCTGTACACATGCTGAGTCCGACACACCACATCACACACCACACACACATGTGGTAGCAGTAGAGGATGGCTGTGATGGGGTGAGTGAGTCTCTGCGAGGCTTTTTCATCTCGCGTGAGGCGCAGCACACAGACAGACAGCGGCGCCGTAAGTGTGTACCATATCGACAACGACAATGTCCCTGAACCACTCATGTGAATGTGTGTGCAGATCAGATCCACCAGTGATAGTTAACAATGCCATTCACTCAGTCCATCTTTCGTGTCCTTTCACCATTGACCATCATCTTGCCCACCAGCCCCCTGGCCAGCAGCCTGAACACCTTGTACCCCCAAAACAGCGACACCAGCCACACCGTCGTCCCCCCCACTTTGATATACAGCGGCGTCGTCGGACACGTCACCGTACAAAACAGCAAAAACGGCGCAACCACAAAACGCGAGACCAGAAATGTCACGGCAAAGGCCAGAGAGAAGGCCTCGTACGCCGATAACCGCTTGTCGGTCTCCTGCTCCATCTGCAGCTGCTGCTTGGTGAGATGCCGTGTTGGCTCCGTCCGCGGCTTTGCAAAGTAGCGGCAGTTGAGGAACGGCGTTGATACCTCGGCGAGCAGCGTGCACATGCAGACCTCATAGCCGGACACGCGAAACAGCAGTACCCACAGCATCCCGCTCGCAGTGGCCAGGTGGTGCAGCACAAAGTCCCAGTTGTTGCGGATAACAGCGATGAGCGTGTCGTAGAGGAAATACCCGCTGCTCACCTGCAGCAGCACCTTCTGCAGCGGCAGCAGCTCGGCACCGAAGCCATTGTTCTCGACAAAGAAGACCGTGGTGCATCCTGTGACGGCAATGGTGGCATGCAGGGTGGACACGACCTTGTTGGCGCCCTCGAGCTCGAGCTTCGGCCCGCCTGTGTGCTTGACGAGTGCGTGCAGGGCGGTCCACGTGGCACAGAGGGAGAGGACGGGCAGCCAGACGGATGTGTCGAGGAAGGCCAGCCACCAGTCGTCCGCGTCTGCCACACGTGCCATCACGATCTCTGCAGCCATTCTCTCCTGATCGGCAGATCAGAAATAAAGACAGGCGGGATGAATTAGAGGGACTCATCCTTCCGGGTCACTGTTTCACACCCTCTGGCACATCCGTCTCCCCGAGTCCGTCAGTCCGTCCGTCAATCTAGCTATGCACACTGCAATGCATGCATTGCAACCAACATCCTCCCTATCAGCTCTACCGTCCTGCACTCCTCCATCCATCCAGCCATGGCTACCTAGTGGATGCTGTTCTGCGCCTTCACGGCCGACTTGCCGCCCCTGCTGCTGCCGCCGCTGCCACCGCCACTGCTGCTGCTGCTGCCGGTGGGTGGCGACGCGGCTGGTGCATCCTCCTCGCGCTTGCCGCCCTTGGGAGGGGGGCTGGGTGAGGCCTGTGCCTGTGCCTGTGCGTTGTGGGGCGTGTCGTTGGTCGTGCCGTTGTTGTTGGCAGTGTTCTTGACGTTGGTGTTGAGCTGCAACTTCTCCCGCGCCCATTTGATCACGCCCGGGATGCCACTCTGCACACACACACACACAGAGAGAGAGAGTGTGTGTGTGTGTGGTGGTAGGGGGGTGGCTGAGGGGTTACGGGTGATTGTGTGGCCGCGCTGAGTATGCCGTCCAGCGTGGCTGTGTCGGCGATGGACTCGAGCACCGACTTCTCCACCCGCATCGCCCCCATACGGTCGGACGTGTGGGTGGGGGCCGCCTCCTTGCGACGCGCATTGCCCAGACGCATCTTGACGACACACACACACACACACATGTCAACAGATGGATGGATGTGTGTGTGTGTGTGCGACGGACCAGTTTGAGCCACTCGTCGTGTGCGGACTGGTTGCCGGTGATCATGATGGTGCTCTCGTAAGACGCACCGTGGGTCGTCTGGCTAGACAGTGTCCATGCTGCACACACCCATCCACACACACACACACACACACACACAGAGAGAGAGAGAGAGAGAGAAAGAGAGAGAGAGAGAGAGAGGGGGAGAGAGAGGGGGACATCCTTGTGTGTGTGTGGATCTCTGTGTGTGTGGGTCTCTCTCTCTCTCTCTCTGTGCGTGTGTGTGAGGGCCACATGCTTACAAGCGTTGTTCATGACGATATCAAGCGACCCCCGTGTGCACATGATGCTCATGGTGGTGCTGCTCTCCAAACACGGCACCGCCAGCAGAAACGTCCCATGCAGGCTGTCCTCGCCCACACCGCCGCTACCGCCGCTACCGCTACCACCCCCCTCCACCAAATGCGTCAGCCGGAAGACCCCCGAGAGTGTGCCGCCCTGCTTGGGGATGCCCAGGGTGGCCGGCCCCTTCCCTGCTGCGTCTGCGTCATTGCTGGTGCTGCTGCCGTCGGTTGTGGTTGAGGGCTTGGTGTTGTCGCGGAGGAGCTTGATGTCGGAGGAGCTCATCCCGGGAATCGGAATGGGCGGAATGGTGCAGCCTGATGGATGGATGGATGTGTGTGTGTGTGTGGGGGGGGGGGGGGG